GAACCCCCGGTACCCATTAAATAGGTTGTGTGGGCCCCAGAGCCAATCTAAATGACTTAGAGAGGAGAAAAATCTTTCCCCCACTGGGACTCGAACTTCTATCCCTCGGTCGTCCAGTCCGTAGCCAGCCTTTCTGATTTTTCAGTACACATTTCAGCTCCTTTCTATGTCCCCTCTACTGACTGCATTAAGGGACACGTAGAACAAAGAAATGAAAAACAGCCTTTCCGTTTTACAATTGAACGTGCGCACCGGTACTTAAAATTTTGAGAGCAAACCCTGCATAGCAGTTACACCAGACATGCGCAGTCAGTGGAAGGTTAAGTTCAGTTCAGTCTTTCGAGTGCATGTTGCTAGGCTACGAGATAATATCCGTTATATCGCGACAAAGGTCGCAACGGTGACCTACATATGGCCTTGTCTGGGTGATCGTGACCTTGTTAACAGCGTTAAAAAGAATATTTCAAGGCAAATAGGCCTATCCCAAAGAGAGGCTTCATAGGAATTGTCTTTGTCTATCACATAACTATATTTTTTTTGTTTCCTGTTTGACTATTTCGTTTAGTCGTATATGCTTTATGAGCAAATAGTATTATTTGAACTAAAATGCGGAAAATGAACTAATTAAGCACTAGGTCATCAAAACATATGGGGGAATGAATGTATAGACACGTTTTCTTCACCTCGGCACTAGTTTGAGGATAGTGGTCAGCTTCACGCCCCTGTCGCTTTACCCCCGGTACCTATTGGGTAGGAGTAGGAGGCTGTGTGGACCCCAGAGCTGACCTGCGCGACCCTACCGGGACTAGAACTCCAAACCGTCGGTCGTCCAGCGTGTAGCCAGTAACTATACCGGCTGCGCTATCCCGGCTCTTAATGTATAGATAATATTAACGAAAATTTCTAGTGCATTTTAAAGGAAAATAAGTGCCAAGAATAACTGGCAAATACAGTTTCATCATATTGATGAAAGATATGTAGTTTTCTCAATGTTCCCCTGGCGCGCGCCTGCGTGTATGCTTGTAACAAATTGTGGTGTTCGAGAAATTCGTTTGCCCGCATTTCTGAAGAGCTGACATCCCTGATCTATACCTGGTCGGGGGCAGGCAGCGCAAGAGTTGCCTGAAGCTAGCTAATGTCTAGTGTTAGCACCGTCAGCGTAATTCAAATGCGATCAGTATGATTTTATGAAGTTTCATGTTATGTTTTTGTGACCTAATTTTTATCCACGAATTTTAATGTATATCCCTCCTTCACGTTAGATATAAACCAAGTTTGGGATAAACTTGATGTGACCCACAACCTAGGTTATCCGTACATTGTGCAAAATGTTACCGTTCATAGGACATTTCCTCCGAATTGATACTTTTTAAATTATGTAAACATTTATCAATCCGAACTTCGTCGAATGAAAAGCGTTCTGTCTGTGTGTAACGTGCGTTTGTCACATGTATAAAAGAATGTACATACTTATAATGTTTCACATTTTGGTCAGTAACATTTTATTGTCGTTCGAACATATACTCGGCCTATATATGAGTATGGCCAGAATTTTCATACACAAACTGTAATCGTGTGTTTCTGTTTCTTATTATGACAGGATATGGAAGCTAATATTGTGAATATCATGTCCGTATTTTCTTAAACCCGAAAATGGATCACTTTGATAATGAAGTTCGCTAATATTAAGCAGCCTCTACCCACTTCCTATCGTCCAAACACAAAAAGGAAGTACGAAGCTAGAAAGCTAAAATTATCTCAAGACGTAATTAAGCACTACGCCATTAGGACGTATGAGAGAGTGAAGATACACTCGTCACTAAGTGGAGCTGAATGGTTAACTTCACGCCCCTGGCCCGTTGCCCCCAGGAAACAGACTCCAAAGCCCGTCTGAACGCTACAGAGAAGAGAAAAATCATGAAAAAGCTGTAGTAGTTTTGTGTTTATTATTTATTTGGAATCTTATTTTTAAACTTTGATCATATAACGACAGCAAAAGCATTTGAAAATCTCATTTTGTTTAAAACTACAAAACCAGTTCATGTCTAATATGGCCTTCAGCCATCTTTTATCCAATATTTTGGCTTAGATGATTCGTTCCTTCTCATCTCGGAACTTGGCCAAAGGAGAGACTACCGTTGTAACAGGGATATAGGTAGTCATCACAATCTGTGTCACCAGCAAAAAAGACTTAAAAACTGTGGCTTACTTCGTGTTTCATGAATTTCGTCAGTTTCATCAAGCAAAGTCCTTGAAAAGCTGATACATGCTGAACCAGTCACAGATATTTTCCGCCTTTTATGAAGCCCGAAGGTTCATTATCGTGTTATTAGTATGCTGTATAGTGAATTACATTTCTTTGCAGGATGAAGGCGCCTTGTGACTCCCGCTGAAAACAGTACCTTCCAAATACTGTTGGAAGGAACCATACTTCAAATGATGACGGAAACATTACAAAGGGTACGGAGAATTTGTGGAAGAAATAAGTACTCTCTCGGTTGAGAGATTTTTTGTTTGTTTTAATTTTGTAATGAATTAAATAGCTATTCATTTACATGTTTTTTAATGTGTGTCTTATGATCATGCCTTGTTAGAAAGTTAAAATTACCACGTTGTGCGTGTATTTGTTAGTGTAGTATTAAGAAAACTTAGCCGTAATTAATTGCAGTGCCAACAGCGTGGCGGAGAGGAAACCACATTTGTAACTTTGAAGGTTTATGAGGCATAGCTCAAGATGAAAGGCTATATTAACATTTTATTTTTGAAATATGCCTCTGATAACGGTTCATCTGCCTTCATGAGTCTTGCGGAATCTAAAAAGGGACTGGTGTAGCATAGAACTGAACTTCAACATTGTACTGTACAATGACATTATTAACCTGACATTGAGCTTAAATGTATGCGTGTTTTGCATATTAAGGAGAATGTCAGTATCCTAAGTACGTAGTATGAGACATCATTAGACGCAGCCTGTAGTTGATGTCAGCTGATGATCCTCAACAGTTGTCAATAAAAACAGTGGATTCAGTTGTAAATAATGTAGGCCTCAACTTATTAAGAAGATTCTGTGTTGTTCCCAAGTACACATATACCTCATTCTGTATCCTTGTTACCCACGCCACATATATAATGATCTACTTTATAATTTAGTACGGTAAACAGACTGGCCGGTCACGGTAGCCGAGCGGTCTAAGGCGTGCCCTGTCTTCGCTCGCTCGGAAGCCGGGATCATGGGTTCGAATCCCAACCAGGGCATGGATGTTTGTGTGCGTTTTTCTGTGTTTGTGTACAGGTAGAGACTTTGCGACGAGCTGATCACCCGCCCAAGGAGCNAATAATAATGATAATAATAATGATGATGATAATAATAATAATAATAATAATAATAATAATAATAAAGGAAGCGTCCTCGCGATTATCTAATTAAGATATATGTTAATATAGAACATACGTTCTTGAGCTTATCTAAATACTTAGAATACTAGACCTTATCGCAATAAGTACTACATCATTGATGTTATCGTGTCATTTATAATTTCTTCTGCCCAGTGTACCTGTTTAGTGCACACGTTATACAGCTTTTACAGTCCCATTTATGATAGCAGCTACAATAATTGTGCTTGACCGTACTTGGCGTATTGATTTATACATAGGTTGATTATGGCACTGGGAAACAGAAAATCTTTCTAGGGACACTTGCACTTCTACAGAAATGACACTTAATGGCTTACGTTGTGAACGTTTTCCTTTGTCACATAAAGAGTATGCCGTTTTTGGGACGAAAACATGCGCTCTGTTAGTTTTCTTAATTTTACATTACAAGGAGTACTCTCTTCTGGGATGTGTTGCCATGTAGTGTGGTAAAAGTTTACAGACGTTTCGGAGATAGGTACTGCCCCAATTTTCAACGTCGAATAGTAAGCCAAGCATTCACTCTGCTTGCTGTTTGACCTACTTTTTACCCCAGAAGATGGAGCAGTATGTAGACTACACGGTATCACACCCCAGGAGATAGTAGGCCTATTCCTTATAGTCACTTCTGAGAGAATGTCAAATCTCACACTTTAAATTACTCATTCGATATCAAAACCAATTGTACAAATTAAGAGTTTTGTTTCTACTTAAGCATATTACCCAAGTTTTAATTTGTAAATTTTATTTTCTGAAAGGAAAATTTTAGGTCCTGGAAGAATATTCGAAATATCTAGCGTAATACCTGTATACAGTATGTAATACAGAATACTTGACTACCAGCATGCCATACTTCCGGAGGTAATGTTGAGTAAAAGACGTTAGTACAGCATTGGTTTTATTTTCAGCAGTAACATAGACCAAATGTTGGTTGTTGAAATAAGTAACCTATATTGGGGCAAGATTAGCCTTTTTGGAATGTGATGCCGTGTAATTTGATGGATAGATACCAGAGTTTCGGAGGAACTTCCAGCCTCTTTCTTCAGAGTCGAATGGTGACGGTAGTACATTCCTCCGAAACATCAGCACATCTGTACTAAAGTACACGGCGTCACTTCCCAATGACCGTAATCCTAATACTCACCACCACAAGAACCAAAAATCTCATACACCGCGTCCTGATACGGTTAATAAAAACGGCAATAGAAGCGAGCCCCTTTCACCCCTGGACAAGGTGTCATATTCCAAATTACCGCAGTCTTCATATTCACCGTGGTAGGATTTTCAGATCTCATGTGTATGAAGAGCCTGAAAACAGGCATACCTTATATTGAGAAAAGAGTTAGTTTGCATAGTTAAATCTGTGTCATTGAAAGTTTGGATATTTAGTTTAAAAACTTCCTACCGTCTATGCCTCCATTGGCACGAAGCGCACTGAAGTTCTCGACAGCACAAGCAGAAGCGGATTTTGTACTCATATAAAGGAAGTCGGGAGGAATTTGAAACTGGCGATAAAAATGGTGTGTTTCACTGAAACATCACCCTCAGTTTGTTCCAATTATGAATTTGAATTTGGTGGAATGTTAGTTTGCAATCATCCACCAGGAACGGTATCACGCGAACAACGAGATGTGCGCTGGGAAAGATTGGAGGGAATAGTAAAAGATACTGGATATAATAGTGTTTCTGATACACGACAAGTATAATGTTTTTTTGGCGGAAGCAACACAGTGTAAAAGTTTTTGTTAGCGTTCTTTTTAAATATTAAAGTAAAGCACGTTATAAATTGCAGTCTGCTTTTGCCGGTGTATGCCTTAATGAGATGATTTGCAGTCTTGTAAGAAAACTCGATAGATTTCTATTTTTCTGCTAATTAATATTCTTTACTGCTTTTTTTACGGTAGAAAATCATTATAAGTATCTAATTTATTAAATTCCTGGTATGTCAAAAGCATTGTCCTTACGCATATCTAGTTGTTTGGTCTGAACCAGTTCTATGTTGCGTTTTTTAAGTGTACATTTTGTGTTCGCTTTGTATTAGTTCTCACGGCATACCTTGCTGAGTTTCAGAGAACTTGCTCTCGATACTTTAAATATTCCAAAATAACATTCGAAGTTTGTATATGTATTTTACTGCCACACATAACCTAGAAGATATGACTATATATTCGTATTGTAATCCAATTATGTAATCATTTTATTGATGAATAACTTTTTATTATATCTAAGGGCAAGGAGTAACAAAAATGTATGGTTTTTCCAGAAACTGTACAATTATAAATTGTAACGATTTGGCATGGCGGTTTCTTTAATTCCCTTGGATTGTGACATCAGTTGTCCATCCAGCAGTAAGAATGTAACCGAGCAGATCCCTGTTTGGAGTGATGACAAGATAAGGAACCTTTGGTCGTCTTTACTGAATCTAGAGTTAGTGTCTAAGTGCTGTGAAGATGAAGAGCTGCAGGGGATTTTGTTACTTCTGGAGACCACCTTCAGTGTCTTCAAAAGTAAGTGTTTTATATTGTTACATGGTTGGTGTAGAATATATCTGATTTCGTTTGTATTTATGGTTAATGCTACTGTGTAGGATCTCAATTTTCATTTTCAGTGTTTATAACCATCTTCATTGAATTAGATTGATGGTTTGGTTAAATCAAAATCAAACTGTACACAATATCACAGAAAATAAAATGTAACACTTCTTGATAATGACAAATTGATATTTGACATTGTGATTAAGAAGAGAAGTAATACTTGTAATTTCACACACAGAATGTATATAACCAATTATTTTTAGTATATTTAATGCGAAACTGTTCTCCCTTAAGGTAAATAATATTATGGAAAACATGCCACCACGATAGTGGTGGGCTGTGCCATAGGTTAGGCAGTTACTGTCTTCCCACTGTCATGGGCAAGGTATGGTTCCAGGGCAGATCATATTGACTTGTGATGGACAGAGTAGCACTGGAGAAGGTATTCTCCAAGTACTTGGTTTCCTCTGCCAATTCTCATTCCACCAGCTGCTCCAAATTCATTAAACATCTTATAATCAACACTGTATGGCCTCAATACTGACAGTGTCTCAAAATTACAGGAAGTCAGTTGAGTTATGAAAATTAATACTTAACAATAAAGCAATTACATATTGTAATATTTTAATCAGAAATATGAAAGCCAGTTCTGGAGAAAAAACAAACTTTTGGACACTGCGTAGTCTTGTAGCTAATTGTCAGTGTTTCAGAGGAACCTGCATCACGAATCTTGACTCTGAACAAAAGACACACAAACAGACATTTGGAATTGTGTACTTTTCTTTCCAGAGCTGAAGAAAAAATGTAATGAAGCAGAATCAGCATATCAGATTGTGAAGCAGGACTTAGAATCAACTAAAGAGGAGATCTGTCAAATGGAAGAGGATCTAAAATGGTATATTCATAGAATAAAGATTGTAGCTGCATTCATGCTTCAGAGATGTTTTGACTTGAAGGAGGTTTATTTTAAGACCTTGAACCCTAGCTTTACTTTGATGCATTCTTGTCAGTGTTTTAGTTACAACAAATTTTTGCAGACATTTGTAATTTATTTGTTGCATATGGAAGTTTACTGTAAATCCATCCTTTTTACTAGGGCTTTTTGACACATTGAGAGCATTATTAATAGCCAGCATTTGCTTGCCAGACCTGTCACAGCTTCGCTAGAGCTGCATTAGCCATTATTTTCAGGGTGCTTATTGTTATTGTAAACTGACACTTAGTTTAGCTCTGAAATAAAGAAATCAATGTGGAATCCAAGGAATGGATATGAAATGTCTGAGAAGTATTGAGAGAAAAGCAAGAAGGCAGAGAATTAGAAATTAAATTTTTAAGGAAGTGAGAATTGAATAATATGTTACTAAATAGAGGTAGAAGAGAAAGTACTACAATGGATAGAGTAAGGATAGTACTGAAAAAGGCATTAGAGTTAAAATGTAAAAGTAGACCTGTTTGGTGATCCAGAACAAGGTGATTTAGTCAAGTGCTGTAAAACATCAGGAAGAGAAAAAGAAAAGCTGGCAAGAAACTGGTAAAAAAAAAACTGTGGGAACATGGAAATGATTGTGACTTTTATTCTTCACTCGTTTTGAAGCTGTGAAACATATGTCAAATTACTTCAGAAATGTAAAAAACAAAAAATGTCGGCCACCTCTTTTAATAGTGATCCAGATTTTACACCTATGTATGCTTATGTGCACCTGTGCACACTTGCACAAGTTCACATCCACACAACAGAATTTTCCTACAAAACTAAATGCTTTTGTCACTTCATATTTGCTGCTGCCTTCAGGTGAGGACTACCAGTTACTCCCGATAAAACATGTTATCAGTAGGTACTGCTTAAATGCTTCCTACCTGTGTGAGTATGGATGTCAACTTCTGTGAATAATATTCATAATGTGGATATATTAACAGTCTTCAAGTGCATACAATCTAATCTACCACTTCTACACTACATGTTTCGGCAGTATGCTGCCATCTTCAGGTGTATCAATCCGTCAACCATTTCACTGCTTGCCTTTATATGTCAGTTTACAAATAATATTAAATTTGTATATGTCCTTATATAATAATAAAGTTTATGTATTTAAAACTTGTTAAAATCTATATCTCATGTGTCATATTTTTTTAAATTCGTGTGTATTATTGCTAATCTACATGGGGGTTGTTCTTCTAATGTTTCTAATGTTGTGTGTATATTATGTCTTATGATGTGTTCTAGTCTTGTGGCTGCGTGTGTTGTATTGTTGGATGTGTGTGTGTCTGAATAAATAAATTTAGGGTATTGATGAATAATGAGTAAAAATGGTGGATATCATTTTGAGTGATTGATGTGATATATGTACTGTTGAAAATGTCAGGGAACATTTTACTATAAATATCTTACAGTGACAGAAGCACAACAGGTATTCCAGAACTTAGTAAGAAAATGAGGTCTTAGGGCCCTTTCTGGGCAAGAAATTCATTGCATATGTTTTATGCTTACTGAAGAGAAAATTTTTAGAAATGTTTAATTAATTCTGTATATGTGTGTGTGTGCATGAGAGAGANGGTGGATATCATTTTGAGTGATTGATGTGATATATGTACTGTTGAAAATGTCAGGGAACATTTTACTATAAATATCTTACAGTGACAGAAGCACAACAGGTATTCCAGAACTTAGTAAGAAAATGAGGTCTTAGGGCCCTTTCTGGGCAAGAAATTCATTGCATATGTTTTATGCTTACTGAAGAGAAAATTTTTAGAAGTGTTTAATTAATTCTGTATATGTGTGTGTGTGTGTGCATGAGAGAGAGAGAGAGATCAAGGGTGATAATTCAGTGCTAGCAAAACAGAATGACTGTTGCCATTGAATGTTTGGGCCATGAGATTAATGAGTGGATAATTTGAATAAAGAGATCAATTGATTCAGCTTTAAATGATGTAATTGGCCAGTAAATAAGTTTTACATATAAAACTATAATGGAAGTTCTGTCTTTATTCATTTATGTGGTAGATATTGCATTGCATCTATTAATTTTGATAGTATGCAATACTCGCATTGTTGCAGTCGTAAGACAGTAGTTTGTGAACGCTGCCCAGAATTGGCTAAGGAACTTGGAGCCCAGAAGAAAAAATTGGAGTACAATGAGAACCGCATCAAATCAATTGGTAAGTTCCAGGCATCTGCAAGCTGTTCACAGTGCAGAGTTCTTTGTAATTGGTAGTATATTCCTTGTAATTCGAAAGGTTTATGTTAGTGGCCTGATATCATAATTTGTTGAACATCTTCTGTTATCTGTAGTTAAGATTATGTCTAAAGCATTTTATAGGTTAGCTCTGTCTGCTCAGTGACGAGGATTAGCTTTATTTAACAGTTTCACGTAGATGTCTTCTCTCCTTTCTTGTTTCATACCTGAACAGACAGATGAAGGAGCCTCAACAAGATTGAAAACATGAGTAACCACAGTTTTAAATAGTGAACTTTGTATTTACAAATGGGAAAGAAAATATACTTTTATACTGAAAATTCAAAGCACTTGGCTCCCCTTAAGATATTTACATATAAGTAAAGGTATCCCTGTAACAGTCTGTGGAGACCCATAGGGTTGTGAGATGTTGAGGTTCCAACATTTTCTAGACAGTCAGCTTATAGATGGTGGCAAGGTTGTCAGGTTGTTGGCCACCCTTTACCCGTAAGAATATTCCAAGAATATTCCTGGTACTCATTTCTGTTAGAGGCTGAGTTGACCCCACCAACATAGTGCGGCTGGAAGGATTAGATCAATTGAAAAAATCCAATGACCTCATCGGGACTTGAACCTACGACCTTCTGGCTTGTAGCATAGTGCCTCAACCAACTACACTGCTGCGTGCCACCAAGATATTTACATATATGCATACAAAACACCCATTCAGTATTCAACACATACCACCTCCCTACCCCATTCTTCCTCCATATTTAACTAACAACCCTTTACATAGTAGGCTATGTTTAAGTTTTAACTGATAATTTTAAATAACAATTATAGTAACAGAAGTAAATTATAGACTTACCCAATTTAATAATCCAGTATATTTTATAATATCATTATCTTGAAAAAAGCTGTATAGGACAGGACTATCTGCAATGGATCCATTGTATAACAACGGTGATGCACATTTTAATATTTTAAACACCTGATGATGGTCACATATGACCAAAACATGTAGCATGTATTATTATTTACTTACTTACTGACTTACGGAGCTGTGCCCTTCTTGAGGAGCCACCAAATCTGCAGCTACTCAGGAATTTCCCAGCATGTATTTTTTATCATAATCAGTAATCTGTCAAGACGACAGGTCCACAGTCTCTTCCAAAACAATTCCTCCACTTAATGCGATCTAGAGCTTTCTCCTTCAAATGACAGTATCCTCTTCTGTCCCCAAGGTCATCCAGCATCATGTATTATTAGCAAATAAAATAAATTCATGCTTTCAGTTGTTTATTTATAAGGGAGTTGTTGTGATAGATGGGCTAAAAAATACATAGTGATCTCATAAGCCTACTATCTTGCCTTAGACTGAAAATGCATTCACATGTTTGCTGCCAGAGACATTCAGTGATGGTGTAGCTAGAAACTGTACATATGCCAAAAGAAATCATAGATATATTTATGACTGTCAAATATGTTTGGAACTTCACTTTATATTTTAGTCAGAGAGATCTTCTGTTTTTTTAGTGTTCATGTCTCTGAAGTGAAGATAAAAAATTTATATGGCAAAAGAAGAATTCTCCAACAACTTCATCAAAATTTGGGAAGTAAATATGGTAATTGTTACTTATTCTTTGCATTCAGTGATCAGTTGAAACATGATCCAGTAAAAGCATATTCCTCACTCACTACCACCACTGCTGCTGCTAGTCCCACGAGTTATTTTTGCTGTTTTGCTTTTGTTGTTATATACAGACTACTGTTATTGTTTGCTTGTTGTTACCATTACTGTTGAATTTTGATATTTTTTATAACTCAAGTGCTTTATATGAAATTTATACATATGTTCATGATCTCCCAAACTTGAGTTGCATATCTTTGAAATCTCAGATCTACAAGAAATAATTGAGGATCTTCTGTGGAATGGCTGTAGTGTTCCTTGCACCTTAAAAATTTCCAAAGACCAACCTTTAAGTAAAATAATCAAAAATCTTAAATTCTGAGAACTTGGAATGCGCATGCCAAAAATTGTGAACCAAGAATTGTGCTGTAGGGTTTCTTTGCAAGAATCTCATTTTCTGCAAGTCTTCTGAGTTTCATTTTCTTCCAAAGGCATGGTGTTATGCTTTCCTGGTTGGTGTTATTTATTTTGTATGTATATTGAAAAACTAACAGGCATTGTCATTTTGTAATTGCATTTTATTTTGCTTACAGTATCAATCTGGGGGCATGTGGTAGTGTAGTTGGTTGAGGCACTATGCTACAAGCTAGAAGGTCATGGGTTCAAATCCCAGTGAGGTAGATTTTTGCAGTTGACCTATTCCTTCCAGTTACACTATGGCCCTGGGGTTGATTCAGCCTCTAACAGAAATGAGTATCAGGAATCTTCCTGGGGTTAAAGGGTGGCCAGCACGTAAGGCTGACAGCCTTATTACCATTTGTGAGCCGATTGTCTAGTCAAAATGTGGGAGACTCGACGTCTCACAACCCTGTGGGCCTTCACAACCTGTTACAGGGATAGCTTTAATTTTTTTTTTCTTTTTTACAATATCAACCTGCTTTGCAACAAAAGATCGGAATTGTAGATGGAGGGAGGGTACTGGGTGTTGTAAATGAAGGACATAAATACATATGAGGAGTTACTGATATTGGAAATTCAGAAGTTAATTATTTAGATAGCTTTCATTGCGTACAATGTTAACTTATCGTATCCGTGTTCTTGTTTCTTTCAGTTTCTATATTGAGCATAAACAATAGCTCTGAAGATTCGGAGAGAAATCTACCATCAGGTCAAAAAACTGCTGTTGATAAGGCATATGATCTTGTATCTCAAATGTTATTGGAGAATGATAACATTGACTTGGAAAAAGATAAACATCTTGGTGTAAAAAGTGGGATTAAACGACTCGAGCATGATAGAACTGAAAGTCCACGGATGAAGTCACCGGGCAAAAAGAGAAAGAAACGAAACAAAGACCCAGCAAAAGTAGATATATTAAACACAAAAGACAGAGAGAGTGACACTGAAACTTTATATTATGGGGCCACTTTGGCTCCAGAATCATCTTGTAATGAAAGGGTTATGTGTTCAGTTGCAGAAAAAGAAATGGTTCCTGAAATTCTTTGCTCTCAGTATCCCGTTAAGTCCAGTGATATGGAGGAAAGTTTGCCACAGCTTAGCATTGTAAATATAAATGAAAAGATGGATAACATACAAACTACACCAAAAAAACCGATGTTACAGGAGAAGATAACTCGACGATCTAGTCCAATTTTAGGCAGCTGCAATAGAAAGTCCATGCATAAAACTACACATTGTAATAATTATAACGTGCCAATTGTAGACAGCCCAGGCAACAATCCTGTGACATTGAAAACTTTCATACCCAGTGGTAAATCAGATAACTGTGATACTGGTTCAAGTCTGCAGAGTTACAAAGATGTTGCCAATAGGAGCCCATCCTTACTGAAGATTGAAGCAGCAAAGTCAGATTCAATTGTAGTAGATGTACATAAAGTGGAAGATAACAGTCAAGAAAGAAAAAATGAGAAACATGAACAGAATGTTTTATGTGCTGCGGATGATAACCAAGAAAGCATGAAGAATATTCAAGCAGACTTTTGGAAATTGAAGCCTATACCTAATGTGAATATTAATATGAAAAACTGCAGTGATGTTGGCAATCGTAAATTGAAGCAGACTACTCTTTCAGTTGCTTCTTTTTCAAAGAAACACGATCTTTGTAGACTCAAAGAGTTCAACGGAGGGGTGAGGCAGAGTAGCTCATTAGCTGATCAAATCAGTGGTATCTCTAGAGAAGAAACTTCTGTTAGACGGGCTGCTCAGGATTCATTGGACGAAAAGGAGAATACAGAATCTGTTTTATCAGAGAATAAATGCCCTGGAGTGAGACATCTAAGGACTGATTCTGCTGAAGATGATGATTTTGTACTAAAAAGTCCTGATGTATCGCACTCTCGGACATTGCCAAGACGAAAGTGTAATTATGTCAGAGACAGGCCTCTTATTAGCAGGTAAAGCAATTTAAGTGAGTAAAAATATAGATGTATACTGTATTAGTTTGAATCTAGGCCTGACAGCTGAGATTCCTAAAACTGGGACATAGCCACTTTCTTGTGTAACCTTCCCAATTTATCATTCACACATATCCTCCATTGCATTGCTGTAATCTGTTTGATTGAGGTAATATGGTTAAATAAACTAAGAGCCTGAAGATGCATGAGAGTAGTTATAGTACTGTAACGTGTTTCGTTACTGAATACGCCGTAGAGATTGTTAATTGGTTTATTTAACAACCTACAATTCTCGGCTACAATCAATTATGACAGTGTTGCGGGGTTTCACAACTTATAACCCTATTCGCAATATTCAATTCACACTATTGTCAGTAGTCTACACGTTTCACAGTACGGGAGCTATATAAGTGTTACTGTATCACACACTCCCAATCAATTCTCAGTTATCACAAACTATCACTGATTATCACACACTTTCACTCGTAACTCGCCGCTGGCTAGATTCCAACTCTGCTCGCAGGCTGCTGCCTTGAGAACTGTTGATAACACACTGGCTCTCGCTTACTGCTCAGCCGGCTTTTATCCTGTTCGCTGTTGCCTGTTGCCCGCGTCAACAGCGTCGTTGCGTGCCACGTAACAGTGTCTGCGTATAGCCTAGCAACGCTGTTACCTCATGCCGTCTTACGTCACCACTGTTGACTCGTGTTGCATAGCTACCAGGACGCTGGGACTCGGCTAACTTTGGCTCCACTCGGCTCACTTCGGCTCCGCTTGGCGCGTCAGCTCCGGGGGGGGGGTTCCAGCTAGCGCGGCACGTCACAGTACACTCATAATCACCCGGAGGAAATGTATCCTCTAGAATGATTTTAATTATGTTTACAATTTTCCTTTTAGTGTTTTCTGAAGTAGCAGCTGTTATAGTCATGTTAGGAAGTTTGACAGGTGCTCTGATTTCATCACCTTCAAGTTAATCACTGGAAAAATCCTGATTTTATAATATGACGTGTGTTAAATTTTCACATCAACAGTTCAAACTATACACATCTATAAACCAGTTGAGTCATGTCAGCTGATATCAATAGAAATATGAAGAAATGTTGTAGGTGTGTTCACTAATTTTTGGAGATTGAGCAAGATTACAGTGGGAAGTGAATAAATTGGCATATCCTTAGCTCATTACTGACACTGTACAGTCTCAATATCGAAAGCATCATTAAATGATACAGAGGAAATGTTCCAGTGGGAGATAATCTGTAAGCTGGAATTTGCCAAACCCATTAACCCACTCTTTTCCCACCATCCTGGCCTGCAGTACCACTCTGGTTTATCCATATTGATAAACATGGTTGAAATACAGTAAATGGCTGGAATAGCATTTTGATGAACCACATGTAGACAACATAAGAGTTTTCTTGTAAATGCAAAGTAGAATGTGTGTATATCCAGTGTAGAGTCCTCTAGGTAGTATGCATACAGATAAACTTATTAAAAATTGACCTAATCCTTCCAGCCACACTATGGCCCTGGGGTCAACTCAACCTCTAACAGAAATGAGTACCAGGAATCTTCCGGGGGGTAAAGGGTCGCTGGCCCATAAGGCTGACAGCCTTACTGCCATCTGTGAGCCGACTGTCTAGATAATGTGGGACCTTTGACATCTCACAACTCTTTGGGCCTTCATGGCCTGTTGCAGTAGTAGTATAGTAGTTTCGTTTTATGGTCTGTTTTACAATGCTGTTAGTATTTTTTATTTATTACAATTTCTGATTTTAGACATAATTATATGTAGCTTAACAAAAGTAATCTGTTTTGCCACTTGATACTGCTAGGTAGAATTTCACTTCATTAAATATTGAGGGAAAAGTGCTGAGTTTGGTTGCTAAAGTGTGACATTTGAGCATAAATACGAGTATCTAATCCTGTGTTTTAAGGGAGCATTCCTTACTGTGACAAACAGTGTCTTTCTTTTCAGGAAGGGTGATGGTACAGCAATAAATATAAGTCCAAGAAAGAAACAAATTCAGTCTTCAGCTGGAAGGATGGATATCGACGAGACTTTTTTTGTTCCTTTGTACACCAGCACCCTGCAGGATGGTGCTTATGGTAGCAGAGAAATTAAGAGAGTACCTGAAACTGAAGAATTGTCTTGTGAACAGAATTTCAAAGAGGCATACCATCCTTCTGAAATGAAAAACAGAAAAGTAACAGAACTGAACAAGAAACATGACTGTAGTTTTGACAGGTATTTTAATTATATTTGCATGACACAAATGTCAGTTAGGCCTGTAAGGCATACATGGTGTGTCCAGGATCCATTAGGACTCATTTTTTTTAATTTTGCCCTGCAATGACATCTGTTGACGAGTTGTGGCATTAAGATTCATGAAGTTTTAGCTCTGGCTGTCTGTAATTTAAAAGCACAAAGATTGTTGCATCATGCGTTCTGACCTTGAACATAACAGTACTGTTCTGATGCTCGTCGGAAAATTGCGGTTGAACAGAGAGCCAACATCAAATTTTGTTTGAGGTTAAACAGAACAGTCAGAGAAGCATACAAAATGATGAAAAGTGTGTATGGTAGTGATTGTTTGAGTCGCTTGAACATTTTTCGATGGTATGCTGTATTTCGTGATGGCAGGGAGGACATTGAAGACGCTCCATGTTCATTAAAGCCAAGAACAAGTTGCACTGAAGAAAATATGAAAAAAGTGACGGATATCCTTGCATCAGACAGATGTTTTTCTGCTAGACTCTTCGAGGAGCTTTTGGGAATACCAAAAAGTACTGTGCATCAAATTTTGACCGAGGATTTGGGCAAACGTAATGTCTGTGTGTGGTTTGTACCGCACACGCTGTCAGGCGATGAAAAACATGCCAGAGTGGAACACTGCAAAGACGTTACAGTTGGCCCAAAGCGATACAGAATTTACAAAATCGATTGTTACTGGTGACAAGATATGGTTTTTCAATATGAGCATGGTTCAGCCCAAAGAAGCCAAAACCAAAGAAAGTGTGCATGCAAAAGAGTCGAGTAAAGACACTGCTAACCGTTTTCTTCAATTCCAAAGGAATCATTCACAAGGAATTTCTGTCAGAAGGTCAAACAGTGAATTCTGATTATTATCTTGCAGTCCTCAATCGTTTGTGGGTGAGATTCTTCGAATTTGACCTGAATATTGAAAGCAAGGTTCCTGTTTGCTCCTCCACGACAATGCCCCACCCCACAAATCGAAGATCGTGCGCGATCTTTTGGCCAGAAAAGGGATCACAGTCCTTGATCATCCTCTGTATTTGCCAGATTTGGCTCCAGCAGATTTCTGGTTATTCCCAAAAGTTAAGTTGGTGATGAAAGGAGACTGTCACGACACCATCCAGGACATCCAAAGGGAATGTACCACAGTTTTAAATGTGATTCAACTAAAGGAGTACAGTGACTGTTTTCAAAAACCTTTCAATCGATTCCAGCTATGTATTGATTAGAAGGAGACTATTATGAATAAAAAGAGTGAAATTTTGAAAATAATTCACATCTTGTATTTTTAATGAACACAGTCCTAAACAGAACCTGGACACACTGTGTATGATTGAAAATATGTGTCAGAATTAACGTTCGTGAGTATGTCTGCTGTTTTTGAAGAAATGTGGAGTGTATTAAATTTGAAAGCACCTGCTTTGTATGGATATGAAACTTTGTCTCTCCCTCTGAGGGAAGAATAGGTTGGAGGTGTTGCAGAATAGAATGCCGAGAAGAATACAAGGAGAATGTAACTGCAGGTGGAGGAAATTATGTAATGAGGAACATCATAATTTGTACTCTTCACATAATATTGTCATGCATTCAGGTGACTATAGACAGGTTTTGGATTGATAACTGGATTTATTACACATTTGTACAACTCATGACCACAATACACAGATTGCTGTCCCACACAAACCAGTGTTTTCAGTCACATTGCTTGGTATTGGCTTCCAACAATATAATTCCTTCAGTTTTCGTATCGAGCGGCTCCTCTCCTTGCTGGTGGGCACCTTTCGCCACTGCTTCCAAGATTAAGTAACTCACAACTCCAGATTGACTCTTTACGTAGCCTCGGCATGGACTGCATAGAAAACACCGCTTCCAACAATTCTTCTCTTGTTTCATGTGTATGTTGCTTAGTGTTGTTGCATGTTACACAGCTGTCGCCTAGCAGTGGCCTTCTAGCTTTGAGGGCTTATGTGAAAATATTAGGTTTTTAAATCAAGGAGAAGGGTAGGACATGCAGCATTAGTAGGATGATCAGAGATGCATGCAGAATTTTAGTTAGAAAACCTTGAGGGCAAAGACCACTTGTGAAATTGAGGTATATGAGGTGATAATATTCAAATGGATCTTTGAGCAATATAATGTGAAGGGGTAAACTGAATTGAACTTACTTAGGAAGTGGTCCAGTGGCAGGCTTTGTTGAATATAATAAAAACTTAAATTCATGATCACATAACTGTTAGCATTTGAAGAAGATGTTGAATCAAAGAGTAGTGGAATGAACCCTTTTGTCCATGTATATGGGTTTTGATGTGGGGCATAAGCGGCCTGTGCCCTATTATAATCTAGTGCAGTGTCTACCTCTACACTTATACTACCCCATATGTCTTCATGTCATGGTGCTTAATTAATTAAGGACAGGGGCATCTTACCTTTATTTTTAACCTTTGTTTGCTCATAGTAAGTCAGCCATGAGATATAGCTACCCCCAGTCTAACTCCTCCATGTCTGCTTGAAACTTCTGATTGTACCCCCACCCCAGTTATGAATGCATGAGAAAACTTTGTTTATTTTTCAGTTAGTATAGTGTCTGTGTTCAAAACTTCTGTTGGTGGTCTGCTGCTACGCCACTTCACCTAGAGACGTGCGGAAACTTATTTCTTTTCACCTTCCATTGGACCATTTAGATGCTGCTGTGTCAGATGACAGGACCTCGAATGAGTGTGAATGGTATGCAAATAGAACCATTGCATGGAAAGGCTGTGACTAGATCCTGATTCTTTGAAGCAAAGAATGACCCCACAAGGGTTCATGTTTGTAGCCCGCAGTGTTATAGAACCATGGAGAATATTAGTATCAAATTCCTGCAGTTGGCTGTTCCCAGATAAGTGGGTATTTGAGCATCACGTGACACATGACCAGCTGGACTGCATATGCTCCATCACAGTATTGTGAAGCACAGATGATAAACGTTAACTGGATTAACACTTTTCAATTTCAGGATTCCAGAAAAAATATCTACAAGCCCAAATTACAAATATCGACGAGATGCTGTGCGTAACAGAGACGCACGACGAAGGCTTGATGGTTGGGAATGTGAGCAGTGCAAAAATGTAAGTTAGAGTGTACACTAACAGACTGCTAAGGATAGTGCTATGTAATATACAGATAATATGGAACCCAATTCTTATGCATATGTTGTTGAATGAGTAAGTGTTGTTGGCAAATACTTTGCAGTGTGATAAATCTAGTAGGGTGGTGGAAGCCTGTAGACATATCAGATTTTAATGGGCAGAATTTTAAGTATGTTTCATATAATAAATCTCAAGCATTTATGTTGTGTGTAAAGTAAGAAACGAGAGCTGGGTTAGCACTGTCAGTATAGTGACTGAGAGGTCAGAGTTCGAGTCCTGGTAGGGTCAAGAATTTTCACTCCTTATTGTCCAGACTGGCTCTCAGTCCACCCAACATTCTTTCCAAAGGGTACCAGAGGCTCTTTCCCTGGGGGTAAAGTGGCCAGGGTGTGAAGCTGATCACTCACCTCCAGCTAGTGCCAAGTCAAGAAAATGTGGATATATACATACACTCCCCCATATGCCTTCTTGGTGTAGTGCTTAATTAGTTAAGAACAGGGACAACTTTACCTTACCTTACCCATAAAGTAAGATAGGTTTTATATAGGCACACACACACACACACACAGACAGGAGGAAGAGTCAGTATTCTAGGAATCATAGTGTTGGTAATTCTAAGCAAAGGATTGTAAACCTCAGATATTATATTTAACACTCAAATTCGTCAGGACTAGCAGATCTGTAAGATTAGAAAAAGGGGGGGGGCCTCACCTTCCTTTCAGCCAAATATGATACCACTCCCTTTTGGCAACAGACCCAGTCATGTATAGGAAAAGCCATGGTCAGATAATTCTTGATGTTCAAAACTGAAAAATGAGTATTTGATTTGAGATCAAGAAATTTTTTCTCAATTTGATCTCAAAAATGTAAGACTCGCTCATATGTCTAAATTTTTCATATGGTTAGAACTTTTACGTTTATTTATGTTGATATTAATTTTCAGTATTATGCTGTTGCCAATGGTGCAGATCCGACGGAACTGAAACGTCACCTCAAACAGTGCTCCAGGCATCGTGACAAATATTCTATCCAATCCAGCACCCCTCCAGGTAAATTTGGTTGCCATTCTAAACTTCCAGTCATACTCAGACCTTAACTTTCTGATATGTATGTTTATATTTGTGGCTACATGACAGTTTGTGTTGTATGTTTCTTTGTGTATCTGAGGAAATTCAGAGAACTTAGGGACTTCGCAGGTTTTTATTTTATTATTGAGGTCACATTCTGGCAGAATGGTTACAGCAACTAACAGATTCATAGAACTGTCAGTCCTCCTCTTGGGGTTGCTTTACCCCATGATCCTGATTCGTTGGATTTTCTACCTTATTTGAGGACAGCATTCAACTGTATTAGCATGGTCTTGTCCTAGCACAACGTCAAGTCTGTCCGTCTCCCACCAAGAAAAATCTGCAATTTCCTTCAGCCAGTCAAGGATGGCTTAGAATTGATGATGCTGAGAGTATACAGCATCCCTTGTGAGTGTGGTCAAGTTTACATAGGCAGACAATCTCCTAGAATGACAGCACCGTTAAGGAGCACCATCTTGGACATCTAGAGTGTTCAGCCATGGCAGAAAACAATGTCAGTTCAGGATATTCCTTCCATGACATCAGTATTCTCTGCACCAAATCCCAGTACATAAACTACATCATCACAGAGGTGAATGAGATTGAACTACATCCTAACAGCATGAACTTAAGTTAGTTGTGGAAACCTTTCATCTTCTCCCTGAAGGGATGTAGGGAACCTCCCTCGTAGGTTTTCATGTGACATGGTTCTCCAGTTGATGTGGTCTGTGTCCACTGCTCTTTACAGTAATCCTAGCCTCTCCTGGCTGTTTTGGCAACAGCTTTTTCCTTTATCATCCTTGGGCTTTTCCACAACTTCTTGCTTCTTTATCCCTGAGCAGCTTTTTCCCAGACATGTACAACTTTTCTCCAGTCCAATTTCACTGAGTTGCAAACAGCTCTTTTCAGATCCCAACTGAGGTACCATTTCCTTTGCTTCCATTGGCTGCCTCACAGGTCTTTTGTTGTTGGACCATTCTCTATCAGGCCAGATTATCCATACACATTTTGCTTAGCTTGCCTCTTGCTTCTGCCATCTTCTCATTTGTCTTACTCTTGGACCCTGTAGATGGAAGTAATATGTTCCTGCAAAATGTTGAGCTGTCTCCAACTACATAATATTAGAACCCAGAAGACATTATGATGGGTTGCTCAAAGCATTAAGATATGAAACAAGAAAAAACTGTGTAATGCAGTCAACAGTAGAACTTTGGTTACTTAGTACCAAAGGTCTCAATAATCACGACAGCAGGGGAACAGTCGTATTTGTTGCTGTGGAAATATGTTTTAACAATTCACCTTCCACGTTTCCATGAGAATGTGCTCAGCGAAGCCCCGCCCAGCAGATTGGCAGATTGCAGCTTTCAGGTGTCATGTCACATTGCTCCATTCTTAAGGCTGTTCATCCTGAATAGCCTAACGGTGCATCACTGTTCCTTTCTTCCCGAAGGTTTTGCTTTTGCTGTCTGCAGGTAGCCTCACCGTCCTTCTCCTGGTTTTGTCTCTTCTTGCTACCACTGCTCCCTACTCAAGGTCACTCATCGTGAGCAACCCCCTGATAGGGTGCAAGCCAATCTAGGTATACCACCATCATCCTTGATCTAGGTGTTTCCTGGATCCTGTACACCACATTATTAATTCATATGATTATTTTGTATGGGCCTTTGCATGAAGATTGAAGCTTAGTCGGTTTCTCTTTTGTGCTGGTTGGACAATAGAGCCACACCCTGTTGCCCTTGTGGTAACCTGTGGAGTTGGCTGGAAGTAGAATGTTCTTGCGAAATGTTGAGCTGTCTCCAGGTACACAGTGTTAGAACCCAGAAGACAATACTTTTCAGAGATTTTCAGGTTTCTGTATGTATTATTAAATGAAATGAAAGCAAATGTACAGATTTCTGTAAAAGGTGAATGTTATTTACAGTTAGATACCACTGAAATATAGCCAGACATGCTAGATTTTAAGGGCTAAAAGAACGACTTAAGTGTTGTTTCCATCTGTGATTAAATATTGTGACATGACACTTAAAGGCCAAAATATGGAATCAGAGAAGTGTTGTAGAGGTGTTCATTGCTACACAGGGGCTTGTTGAAACTTTGTTTCACAGCGATGAAAATGCACACAACAGTAGAGAAACTGTTGGAGGCAGTGTTTTCAAATCTGAAAACAAGGAATTGTGTTCATGTTCCATTACTATGTAAAGATGTCACCAATTTGAAGAGTGATGAATGCTGGCCATGTTTCTAGATCTAGTCATTCTTAACACAGTGTACAGTGCTTTTGGTCAAGTCCACTAACTGATATAAGGATCAGAGTTGAGTATGGATTACATAATGGGGCTCTAGTTAGAATGCATTGTCCTTCTGCCATCCCTGCTGCAGTGCAGCAGCAACCACTGTCCTACTTCTGGCAGTACTTCTGCTTGCACACAACCCAGAGGCCAGTTCTAAAAATGGCCTGTACTTGTAGAAGGTGGCAGCTAAACCCCTCAGCCTACAGTGTAAGTGCTTCATGGTTTCTTAACAAAAGCAGTTTGTGCACTTACATCTACGTGAGATCTAGCATAATGATCATGATAAATGATACACACTCCGTCCCAAGTGCAAACAATATATATTATACGTCTTTGATCTTGTTCTTTTCTACACTACATGTTTCGGCCTCTATCGGCCATCATCAGGTGTATACTCTTAACGTTGCTGCCACACTGAAACCCAGTCTAAAATTTAACATTTAAAAACACATTGTTATTTTTGTCGTATTATCAACATCTACCTCGTTGATATGTGTCTGGTATGTAGATTATATTGCACACGTCAAATTTTCCTGTAGTAGCACTATAAAATCTTTAGTTATGATTTTAAAATCCTTTAAAATTTTCTCTAAATATTAAATTTAGAATTTACATGTGCACACGTAGTAAAGACAAGCAGCGGCACGCACACAGGAAGACCACACAGAATAACACCTGTACAGTGTGGAACCAGAACTAGCCGCTCCAGCACTTTAGACATAGGGCGAGTAACCCTAACAATTTTAAATTCTAAATTTAAAATTTAGAGAAAATTTTAAAGGATTTTAAAATCATAACTAAAGATTTTATAGTGCTACTACAGGAAAATTTGACGTGTGCAATATAATCTACATACCAGACACATATCAACGAGGTAGATGTTGATAATACGACAAAAATAACAATGTGTTTTTAAATGTTAAATTTTAGACTGGGTTTCAGTGTGGCAGCAACGTTAAGAGTATACACCTGATGATGGCCGATAGAGGCCGAAACATGTAGTGTAGAAAAGAACAAGATCAAAGACATATAATATATATTGTTTGCACTTGGGACGGAGTGTGTATCATTTATCGTGTAGAGTGCAACAGGATGCTGAGATATAATATTGTAAATAATGACCATACTGGAAAAATTACAGAATGGAATGCTATTTATGGTGCAGCATAGAAGAGAGTGCAGTAACATCACATATGTTTATGTCATGGTGTGACTATACATTTTTGCAAGATGAGTCTGAAATAATGATTACTGAGTTCAGTTGAATACAGGAAAGGACTGATGAACAAGTTTTGCAGGTTTTCCATAATTTTATTTTGTATGGCTGCTATCATAAGTGGAAATTAAGAACCCCAGAAAGGAAAGAGCAGAGAGGAAACTCTATGTATCCCCATGAAAATAATGTCACTGCCCTTGCTGTGTTGAAATGCTGTTTGTTGAGAAAAGGTGCTCTGTGTTTGGCTTTTTTCTGTTTGCATGTGTTAACAGAAGACTTCTTCAAGATGTTGTGTTTTGTTGTTCTGCTGATGAAAAACAGTTACATGCTGTAGAATTGTGTTAAATTACTTAGATAAAATATGTTTAGATAATCCAAACTTACTTAATTTGAAGGCATAAATTTTTGGTTTGATGAGAGATACAGATGAAGGTGATTTTGCAATGGTATTGGGATAGTGACATTTGATTAATGTCGCTTTTCAATAATAGCATGTTTTGATTACAGGATACTGGGATGTGAATTTCCCAGACACTGAAGAGAGCAAGTTGGAGGTTACACTTGCACCAAAGAACTTACCAATTGCAAAAGACTAATTCTCTGTTAATTTGATGTGGTGTGAGTTCAAAACACTTCACTGAAATGTTGGAATATTGAAGTTCAAGCATATACAAATATTATACAGACAAATTTGAATAGATTGAAATTTGATATTTTCCTAATAAAAATATGTCGTGTTTTTAACACATTTGCTTCCAGCTGTTCAGCAGCTGGCCACACCTCAAGCCCAACCATATTTAAAGGTCACACTGGTGTTTGACAGCACTTCACTTAAATGTGATTGTCCCTTAACCTTTAACATCCGAAGTGCCCCGATTGGGCCAGTGATGAGTATGGTCATCATGGCCAAAGTACCCCGTTTTGGCCAGTCGGGCATTTAAATTCCCCTAGTGTAAGCATGAGCACACACCGCTAAATGAAGCGCAAGCACAGCCCAAAATATTTATTTTTGTATGTAGTAATTACCAGACAGACTTGAGTAAAACCCTTATAGAGGATTAAAATGATACCTAAGTGAACAACAGCAAAAAGGAGTATACGTATGAGTTATGCCCAATCTTATCAACGAACCAGTACTTTTATTACAGATTCTGCAGATTAATGTGTTAAAAATATTGTAACGTGTTTTGTCTCTACAGACGCCGTTCGGATTGTTAATTGGATTATTTAACAACCTACAAATCGTAACTACAATTAATTATAACACAGTTGCAGGTTTACACAATTTATAAACCCTACACAATAATCTGTTAACACTATCTTCAATAGTCTTCACTTTCAAAGTAAAATATGGGAGCTATACCAGTGTCACTGTATTACACACTGCAGAGGAGGAACCGGCAATGTAGAAGCACCGGCCTCCCCAGAGAGAGTGAATGAGGACAGAATGAATGTGAGGATTGAATGTGATACAA